CAGTTCAGCTGGGATCCTGTCGTCTCCTGCTGCCTTGTTGTTAGCAATGCTTCTTAAGGCCCATTCAACCTCACTCCTCAGGATGTCTGGTTCTAATTCATTCACCACACCGTCAAAACTATCCTCATATTATTATCCTTCCTATACAGATCTTCTGTATAGTCCGCCACCTTCTCTTGATCTCTTCAGCTTCTGTTAGGTCCCTGCCATCTTTGTTTCTTATCATACCAATTTTGCCTGAAATTTACCTCCAATGTTTCTAATTTTCTGGAAGAGGTCTCTTGTCCTTCCTATTCTGTTGTCTTCTTCCACTTCCATGCATTGCTTATTTAAAAATAGTTCCTTATCTCTTCTGGCTAACCTCTGGAATTGTGCATTTAACTGGGCATATCTCCCCTTATCACTGTTTCCTTTTGCTTTCCTCCTTTCTTGGGCTACTTCCAGTGTCTCAGCAGACAACCATTTTGCCTTCTTCATTTTCTTTTTCTTTGGGACGTACTTTGTTGCCGCCTCCTGAACAATGTCGCGGACTTCTGTCCATAGTTCTTCTGGGACTCTGTTTACTAAATCTAGTCCTTCAAATCTGTTCTTCACTTCCACTGTATATTCGCTAGGAATGTTAGTGAGATCATATCTAACTGGTCTGTGTATTTTCCCTGATCTCTTTAGTTTTATTCTAAATTGAGCAATAAGAAGTTCGTGATCTGAGCTACAGTCAGCCCCAGGTCTTGTTTTCACCGACTGGATGGATGTCCGCCACCTTTGGCTGCAAAGGATGTAGTCAATCTGATTTCGGTGCTGACCATCTGGTGAAGTCCATGTATAAAGCCGTCTTTTAGGTTGTTGGAAGAGAGTGTTTGTTATACACAGCGACTTTTCCTGGCAAAATTCTATCAGCCTGCGTCCCGCTTCATTTTGTTCTCCCAGACCATGTGCCTGTGATCCCAGTTGTCATTTGACTTCCCACCTTGGCATTCCAGTCTCCTGTAATGAAAATAATGTCTCTTTTCGGTGTATTATCCAGTAGGTCCTGCAGATCCTCATAGAACTGATCTACTTCTGCTTCTTCAGCAGCTGTGGTTGGGGCGTATATTTGGATCACTGTAATGTTGAAAGGCTTTCCTTGCACTCAAATTGAGATCATTCTGTCATTTTTTGGGTTGTATCCAAGCACTGCTTTAGCGAATTTCTTATTAATTATGAAGGCTACTCCATTTCTTCGATGTTCCTCTTGTCCGCAGTAGTAGATCTGGTGGTCATCTGATGTGAAGTGGCCCATTCCAGTCCATTTCAGTTCGCTGACCCCCAGAATGTCTATCTTTAGTCTTGACATCACACCAATAACAACATCCAATTTGCCCTGGCTCATAGATCTTACATTCCAGGTTCCTATGGTGTGTTGATCTTTAGAGCATCGGAATTCGTCGTTCACCTCCAGTACCGTCGGCCGCTAGCCTTCCTTTCGGCTTTGAGCTAGCTGCGTCATCACATCTGGGGCTAGTTGAACTTATCCTCTGCTCCTCCCCAGTAGCATTTTGGCCATCTTCCGACCTGGGAGTCCCATCTTCCAATGGCATACCGACATATCTCTGGTTGTACTGGTCCATTTAGTTTTCTTGGCAAGGATACTGGGGTGGTTTGCCGTTGCCTTCCCCAGGGATCACGCTTGGTCTGACCTCTCTGCCACGACCGTCCCGTCTTGGGTGGCCCTTCACGGTTTCGCTCATGACATCATTGAGGTGCTCAAGCTCCAGCGCCACAACAAGGCGGTGATCCTTTGCTGGAGATGTCCTTTTAGAGAGATTTAAAATGGTCTTTCTTTGTCCATGTGGAAAATCTTCCTCCAGCAACTCATGAAGTAAGAACACACTCCAAACTGTCTCTCTGCTTCTGAGCACCTGCCCAGCTCAAGCCTGAAAAATGTAACAGTAACCAAAACTCCCAGACTCAACTAGCTCCCTGGGTGTAGCCCAAATAATCAGCTTCAAGCATCTTATTTTAAGTTGTCACACACACACCTAACTGATTTCTTACATGTCCCAACAATTTCTGGGATTGGAAGGGCAGAAGTTCACTCAGTTCTTTTAAGGTCCTTCAGATCTTTGTGGGGTGAAGGGAAACATTGAGGCACTGCCACCCACAACTAGCTTCCTATCCTTTTCCAAGTTCTTTCATCAGACCTGGGAAATCCAGGAGGGAGTACATCACACATATAAAAGCATTGTCTTCAGTCCAAGATCTTGTTGCCACCTGAAGTGCCTGTTTCATTCTACCTAATGATAGGGATAGATCTGCCATCTGCTTGCACAACATCCGATGTGTGGGCACCCAACAGGCAAACAGGCTATTGAGAAAGAAATCTGTTTTATACCAAGTCAGAACTTTGGTCCATCTGGCCCAGTGATTTCCAACCTTTGGCCCTCCAGTTGTTTTGGTCTTCATCTCCCAGAAATCCCAGCCAGTTTACCAGCTGTTAGGGATTGTGGGAGCTAAAGTCCAAAACACCTGGAGGACCAAAGGTTGGAAACCACCCATCTAGCTGAATATTGTCAATTCTAACGGGCAGTGGCTGTCCTGGGAGTGAGTCAAGAGTCTTTCCTAGCCCTACTTGAAGATCCATTGTATTCCCAGGTGGTTCTTCACTGAAGCACTAGCAAGTACTGGCCATTCTCACCTTCCAAACACTTTTAAAAATTGTGTCAGAAGCAAATTGAGAATATACTACAACTCACTTCTGGTGTGAAAGAATTTGCCATCTGTAAGGAAGTTGCCCAGGGGACACCTGGATGTGTTGGCATCCTGTGGGAGGCTTCTCTCATGTCCCCACATGGGAAGCTGGGCCTGACAGATGGGAGCTCAGCCTGTCTTGTGGATTCAAATGTCTGACCTTCAGATCTTCAGGTCAGCAGTTCAGCTGGTGCAAGGGTTTAACCCATTGCACCAGCACAGCTCCTTGTACCACTGAACACTGATTAAATTTGATGTGCTCAGGGTCATATTGTGATTTCTACTGGGGTGGTTTTGCTCCACTGCTTTGGACGCAATGCTACCTTAATCTCAGTGATATAAAAGCCTGCACCACAACTGCTAGAAGTTAATTCATACAAGCAAGTTGCTAGAAATCTGGCCCATCATATTAAAAGGGAACAAAGTGAGAACAGCAATTTAGGAGAAAGGCAGATGCATCCACAGTCAAGCTAACTACACTAAGTTTATAATTGCAAGTGCAAAAGAGGACAAAAGAAACAAAGAGTTGAAACTTTTTAATATAGAAGGAAGATGAAGGATTTCGGTTAATGATCTATGTATAATACTACTACAGGAAATAGGTGACTATTATGCATTTGTGGCAGGATGACTAGGCATCTTTCCCTTTAAAATATATGGTCATCCGTTAATTAATAATTCTCTAGAGAGACAAATTCCAGGGAATAGTTTAAAATCTTGTTGGGGAGTTATGACATTGTAAATTAATTTACCATCATAGAAAGTTGTATTGCATTGCTGTGCAATAATTGTATTCATAGGAGGGACCTTTGTGAAAGGAGACCCAATAACACGGGACATAGCTGCAATTGTCTAGAATGGAAAGTTTCAGCAGATTAATCTTGCAAACTATTTGCTGAAGTTCTGTCTCCTACACAACTATTAAAATGCAGCAGTCCTCATTCAGAATGATAGCTAGACAGCAATATATTCTATGCATTATTTGGTTTCAGTGTATTTCTAAACCTCCAGAACATCAAGGTCAAGATTATTTCAATTTTTATGTCTTCTTTTATCTTCAAACGTACTGAAGGGAAGAAAGACCTGCTTTTGAATACCGAAGAAATCCTACAATAGCATGTATTTCCTTTAAACAGTTGTGGGAATTACTTGCCACAACATCATTAGGGTTTTTTTCTTTCTTTCACAATTCATTATGATGTCCTGGTGTCATTATAAGGTTGTGTTTCCACTTTCTTCTGAGAGCTTTTCTATCTTGTTGAAAGAAATATGCAGCAGTAAAAATCTCGACAGCCATTTGACAATATATGCAAATGTGTTAAATAGCTTTGAAGCAGACAAGAAGAAAGAGTGACTCTCCCAATAAGCTTGGATGCATACGAAGTCTTTTCCATAATGAACGTGGCTAGATTTTAACAAAGGCCATGCATAATAAAAATGTAAATGAGTTTGCTTTACGAAAAGTATAACTTTAACGTCCTTTGTTATGGGCTGTCCTGGAACTTTCCTACAAGGTTATCACTGTGTGCATGGAGATTTAAACCGGAGTCTTCAATGGCATTTAAAGAAGAAGGGGGGGGGACCAGAACGGACCAAGTGTGATGTGCATGCAAAGCTACCTTAATGTTCAGAATATGAATTGCCTCTGGGTGGCAGAAAACCAACTGCGCTGGTATCAGGCAGCCTGATGGACTCCATGTGGCTCCCAGCCTGGAAATTTCACCCGTTTGACATGTGATGGGCTCCTCATGGCCGTGGCAGTGCTGTCATTGAGGAATGGCACAGAAAGGACAGGCCCCCCACCCTTCTCCTTCGCCGCCGCGCACTTTGCAACCCCCTGGAGTTGCCGGCCCATGGTTTCCCCATCTTGCCTAGATACGGACAGCACTTCATAAACACAGAGAGAAGTGTGGGTGGATAGAGGCGCCCCAGCTGGCTCCCTTGACACAAACGCCACAATAAAGTGGTCTGAATGATGAGGGCAAACAAACAGTATGATATGCATTATCCCTGTCAATAACCCATCCCCATGTGTTACGGTCTTTTTGTACACTGGGTACCGCAGCCCTTTCTTCCGGCGAGCTCTATTTAGCCTACTGAATTTCCCTCCCATTCATATTATAACGAATATGACAGGATTCAGAATTTTTTTTAATGTTAGCTGTATTGTATAATTGTTGTGGGCCCCAGCGGTGGCATATTTCCATTTCTTTTCCCCCTTCCCCTTTTTACACCTCATGCTTTTACAAATAGACAGCTTCTTAATCTTTCAGTTTTCAGACAGAGACATTGAAATACAGTTGCTTCGCCAAGAAATTGCGGAATTCAAAGAGCAAATGGCCATCGTGAGTGCAAGAAACGCACGCCTTCAAGACACTGTGAGACGCAGAGAGAAAGAACTTGTTGAGTTAGGTAAACTTTCTCACAGACCAAGAAACTCAGTAGGATTTTAACTATATAGAAATTTTGGGGTAGTGGCATTCATCCTCTAAATTGGGTTGGAAAATATGGCACAGTTGTTTTTTGAATTTTTCTGTTTTCCTCTGTTATTTGAGGTGTTTCTGAAATTTCTCTGCAGAAAGTAATTTTTGAAAACATAGGCTTATTTGTGTTGTATATACTAATGTGAAAAGAAGGTATGTTATTGACATGTAGAGCATGTTGATATTTACACTTTGAAGTCAAGATATTGTATAGTATTTGAAACTTTTCTTACAAAATTGATATTTTAATATTTTGAAGCATAATTACAAGTTTTATTCACACTCCTTGTAAATACTAAAATGATGCTGAAGCACAGGCTGAGCATGCCTTATATGGAGAACTCAAATCTAAAATAGCCAAAATTCAAACTTGTCTACATGAGTGGCTGAGATAATGGTGCCTTTGTTTTCTGATAGTGGTGCCTTCATTTCATGGACAAAATTATTTAAAATATTGTATATAAAATTACTCTCAGGCTAAGCTGTAAATGAAGCACAAATACACTTTGTGTTTAGACATCTCCAAGATCTTTCATTACATATAAAAAAAGAATCCAAAACATGGAACACTTCTGTTCCCAATCATTTTGGATAAAGGATGCTCAACATGTTTAAAAAGAAATGTGTGTCAATGAGGAAACAGAATTAAGGTATATCTCTTTTTGTCAGGGATGCTTTTTTCTAGCTTATTCTAAATATACAGTAGAGTCTCACTTATCCAACATAAATGGGTCAGCAGAACGTTGGATAAGCAAAAATGTTGGATAATAAGGAAGGATTAAGGGAAAGCCTATTAAATGGTAAATTACATTATGATTTTACAAATTAAGCACCAAAACATTATGTCGTAATTACTGTATTTACGAATTTTGCAACAAAACATCGCAGTGTATTGAAACAGCTGTGGATCCGGGTGGGAACAAACTGCGTTGGATAATACAGAATGTTGGGTGAGTGAAGGTTGGATAAGTGAGACTCTACTGCATGTCAGATATTTCAAAAACTTGATTATTGAAATATTTGGCCAGTTTTTCTTAAATAAATTGTTCTTGGCTGTGAGAGGCACTGCATGTCTGGTTATACAAATGCTGTCATGGTAGTGTTGTGCACATACCTCTTATTGTTATAGTTAGGAATGGACAGCTAGAATTGTAGATGCATATAGTTTCTGCTCCTCTTTCCTTTGCTACCTCTCTCTCTCTCTGGCTCTGGGTATGTAGAAAGATAGACTAAAAGATGGACGAATGAATATACATTTTAAAAGAGTTTCCATTCTGATTCTCTAAGTGCTCTCAAGGCAATCAACAAGCCTCACTAAAATAAGACTTAAGACAACAACAACAAAGGTTTTGTGAAGTAATTTTATCAATATATCAAAGCCAAGAATATGAATTTAATGTAAAACCAGTCTTACATAAAGGCAGTTTTATCACCTCACATGTTGGGGTCTTCCCTCTTGCTCAACCCAATATCTCGTCTTCAGAAATAATGTCTGGGCAATAAAGAGCCACCTGCTACCACACTTTGTGCGAACTGTGACTAAAAGCGAAGATGTGCAAAGCTTGCATGAATGAAAAGCGATGGGTGCTTGGACACACTTGGCTCTTGAACTTATTTCTTAATCTCTCTCTCTGGCCAGCCAGTTGAGCGGCAGGGAGGGCGCTGTGAAGGCCAAGGCCAGTTGAGAAGGTCACCGGGTCTGCCATTGCCTCCATCCACTCATGCCTTCCGGTGGGCTTACAGACTGACCTGTAGCGCGCAATATGAATCTCTTTAAATAGCCATGTAATTTCATGGTCTCTCTGCTTTATCCCCCAACCCCACCCTCTGCTTCTTTCAGAGAATGAAATGCAATCTGTGCAAGAGAAAAAAGAAAAAGATATGAAGATAATTCAAAAGGTACTGTAGTCTTTATTTATTTATTGACAGTGATGGATTACCTCGTACAAAGACACTAGAGCCAGGGAGTTATTCACACACATAATGGAAAAGAGCTGCCCTTCCAACTGCCTAGAGACCTTTGGGCTAATTTTTGCATAACTCATCACTCCCCATAGTTCTGACAAGTTGATACTCTTAATCTTAAAAAGATATAGTTGCTGCAGGGCTCGAGCTAGGAAACTTAGGCCCCTTCTACACTGCCATATAATCCAGATTACCAAATCAGAAAATCCACATTATCTGCTTTGAACTGGATTATATCAGTCTATACTGCCATATAATCCAGTTCAAAACAGATAATCCGGATTTTATATGGCAGTTTAGAAGGGGCCTAAGATCCTGACACTAAGGGTGGTTCCAGACAGGACTTTAATTTGCACCTAATTGGGTGTAGGAAAATGGAGGGAGGAGGAAAATTGCTCCTGGCCCCCACTTTTGGAATGTTATTGTTTTGTGCTAGGAGAGCACTGGCAGCAGGGAAATGCCAGCCAGGTAAGTAATTTTAATTTTCTAGAGGATGTCCAAATGGCCTGCTGGCACCCAGACACAAACATCCTGTTCCCCTCAGAAAAATTTTAAAAATTAAAATTACTTACTTTACTGGCATTTCCCTGCTGCCAGCCCACTCCTGGCACATAGAAATGACAGACCAGAAGGGGGGACAAGGAGGGATTTTCCTCCTCCCCCCTCCCCTTCTCCTATGCGCCAGGAGAGGGCCAGCAACAAGGAAATGCCAGCCGGGTAAGTTTTTAAAAAAAATTAAAGTCTTTTTTTGGGGGGGGGGATAGCTGAATTAGCCCAGAAAACTTGAGAGGGCTGTTTGAACTGCCCCCCCCCCAGAAGTCCAGGACTTCTTAGGGGGCAGTCCAGACACTGGCCATACTTGATTAGACTGATCCAGTACCAAATTAATTCACCACAAATCAGGGTTTTATTACATGAGGCGTTGCTTGGACGCCCCACATAAAAATCCGGTAGGGCATACATTTTCCACTCTGTGTGGATGCATCCTTGGTCTTACTTGGAACAGGTGAAGAAGGGAACAGAGGCATGAATGACTTGGAGGCAGAACTTCTAGAGCCCTCCCACACAGCCATAACATCCAGAATATCAAGGCAGATAATCCACAGTATCTGCTTTGAACTGAGTTATCTGAGTCCACACTGCCATATAATCCAGTTCAATGTGGACTTTATACAGCTGTGTGGAAGGGGTCCTAGTGTAACCTGGGATCCAAACTGAGGAAAGTTACTTTTAGGATGCTACTGCTCTTTTAAGGAAATGTCAAAAATCTGAACAAGAAGCCTTGTGATTCAGTTCTTGTGGGGTTTTTCGGGCTATATGGCCATGTTCTAGAGGCATTTCTCCTGACGTTTCGCCTGCATCTATGGCAAGCATCCTCAGAGGTGAGGTCTGCTGGGACTGGGGGAAAAAGGGGGTTTATATATCTGTGGAATGACCAGGGTGAGACAAAGGGCTTTTGTAAATTGGGCTAGGTGTGAATCTTTCAACTGACCACCTTGATTAGCATACAATGGGCTGACTGTGCCTGGAGCAAACTCTTCTTGAAAGGTAATTAGATGTCCCTGCCTGTTTTTCTCTCTGCTGTTTTTGCTGTTGCAATTTTAGAATTTTTTAATACTGGTAGCCAGATTAAAAAAAAGATTGGAAAAAAGACTGGCTACCAGTATTAAAAAAAAAATCTAAACTATGAGAACCAGTCAACATGGCATCCTGGGAATTGTAGTCCAAAAATGTCATTTGTCCTAGTTCTTGTTATCCATAGGATGTATTTCCAGTCAAATACTTTAAAAAAATCAATTTCAAAAAATCTACTTTACTACCGTATACTTTGAATCCTCACTATCATTTTTAAATTCTAGCTAGTGAACTCTCAAGAGCTGCTGAAGTTGGAACTTGACAGGGAGAAGCAGCGAGTGCTATCTAAAACTCGGGTAAGATCCTGATCACAAATATTGCACTGATTAAACACACCGATTGATTACCATCACTTCAAGTACAGGGTTATGATGTGTCATACATTTACCTTCCTCTTGTTCCATCCATTCAGAGGGGTCTTCCAACCTGAAACAGGGAATTATGTCAACAACAAATATGCTGAATTTCATTTTAACTACTTAGTACTCAGTAGTGATAATAATGGACCCTGTCCACCATAACTTCAAAGAGATTTCAGGTATTTTAGTCCTTTTTAAAAGAAATTAAGAAGTTTACAAACAGCTGATCCTTAATTATATAATTCTCAGCCTACATTTTGAGGGAGGGAGTGAGAGACTAACTTAGGTTCCTTAATGTTTACTGTCAAATTATTTTTGTTTTATAATAGAATATTTCACATTAGAACATTGAAATAAATCCTATCTTGACTTGTTTCCAAAACATGTGCCAAAACAGAATGACTTCTGTTCAGAAAGGTTGAGAATAACACATCAATACCACTTCATTAATTTGTGTGCAGTTTGTCACACACTCTGCCAAGTTACAGTTTCTCTGATTATTCTCTTTTGTCTATCTTAGTATCATATGACGTGAGATCTTACAGGGAGGGTATAATCCTGGGAGTCTTCAGTCTTTGGCTTGAAAGAAAATAATAAAGCAGAACTGATCTTCAGAACCCCTCCCTCCATGAAATAAGAGGACTGATTGAAAAGTTCCCGACTTGTCTAATAATTTACTCAGAACCTTTTTATTAATGGAAGACTGTCATAATTTGAAGTCAAAACATTGTTCTGAATGGACGAGTGTGGCCAAAAACACTCCACAGCCAGGTTGGTAGTAAACTCTGGCTGGAATCCTGGTCGTAAACCTGAACACCAGTTGTTGTAGGATACCAACTTTTTCAAGGTGGTGAGAGAAGGTAGAGGAGAAGACCAGTGTCATGCAGTCATTTGGTTTAGGGATTGTGACTTGAGAAGACCAGGATTCAAATCTCCAGTCAAGAGAGTTAATCTCACCCACTCCAATAACTCAGAGTAACACCTCTATGCACCTCCTGCCATAGCAGATCATACAGAATCTTTGGAATTGTTTTTTTTTTACTCATGTAATTCCCATATATCAGTGAATGTAATGACAAAGTCAGAAAGTACAGCTGACCTGTCACATTTGTCTGTTGGCTTTTGTGGATTCAATTATTTATGGATTTTATATGTTCCCCATAGGAATCACTAAGTCCTCCAACACAACCCTATGGTCAACTTCCATTGAACATTAACCATAGAGCCAGATTGTAGGTCCTAGAGACTTCTAGAAACAAGATTCCTCTAGGCATTTGTAGGTCTTCCGGTGGGATTTTCTGGTCAACATCCAGAGGAAGTTGATTACAGAGTAGCAATGGAAGAAATACAAATACCTAGATAAATATATATATATTAATTTTTATTCATTTTTTACTACCATGAAAAGTAAAAAATCCATCAATATATTTTTCACTACAAAACCAGGAGTGAAAACAAGAGTACTTATTAGACTTACAGACAAAACCATATGGGTTCAAAATGTCATTGTAATGTGGTGATAATAACAGCTCAGTCTAGGGCACATGCATATTCAAAAGTTCAAAAAGTAGATTCGCATAGAATTTTAGCTTTAGATATATATTTAGTTTTAGAGATATGTGGCTTGCAGATATGTTTTTGTGGTTGTAACTAACTTCAGGCATATTTTTATAACTTTAGAGACAGTCATTTTAGTGTAATCTCTTCTGATGATATCACCTGGTAAGGTTCGCACCCTCCCCACTTGTCACACCACTGCAAATTCCACTCCATCATGGTAACCTGCTGGGTGACATTGGTGAAATCACACTTTATTAGGCAATGGCCATGTATGAGTCTTGCAAGGAAGTCTCTACAGTAGGGTCACCGTAAGTCAGAGTCGACTTGAAGACATGTCACAACATAACTGAGAGAAGAGCAACAAAATCTTCAAGCAACCAATGTTTTAGCCTCTTCCTTTCCAGCTTATCCCTTCCCAATTTCTCAGTCTATTCCTTCAGACCATTCCTTGAAAGACACTGTGCCCACAGCCTTTTTCCTGCTGTCACGGCTTCTACCACTGGCCTAGTAGTAATGTTGTAATGCACCAACAGAATTCTGGCCTAGACTAGGAGCCCCCGGTAACACAATGGGTTAAAGCCTTGTGTCGGTAAGACTGAAGACTGACAGGTCACAAGTTCAAATCCGGGGAGAGCGCGGGTGAGATCCCCCTGTCAGCTCCAGCTCCCTATGTGGGGACATGAGAGAAGCCTCCCACAAGGGTGGTAAAACATCAAAATATCCGGGTGTCCTCTGGGCAATGTCCTTGTAAATGGCCAATTCTCTCACAACAGAAGCGACTTGCAGTTTCTCAAGTTGCTCCTGACATGAAAAAAACACATAGACTAGCTAATAAGCACCACTGTAGTAGTTTCTCCTGATGAGAAAAGAACCAGGAGAAGAAGAAACATTTTGGGAAATCTGCCTGGGTCCAAAAGCCACTAAGTGTATGCCTGCAATGAAGTCACTGCTGCAGTTGTGTAGAATCATAGAATCTTAGAATTGGAAGACATCACATGGACCATTCAGTCAAGCCCCCTGCCATGCAGAAAAAGCACGATGAAAGCACCCCCAACAGATGACCATCCAAGCCTCTGCTTAAATGCCTTCAAAGACAAAGCCTCCAACACACTCTGAGGCATTGTTGAACAGCTCTTATTACCATGTTCTCCCTAATGTTCAAGTGGAATCTCTGTACTGTGAACCCATTGCTCCAGGGCTTAGTCTCCAGAGTGACAGAAAACAAACCTGCTCCCTTTTCCTTATGTATACAGCTTATCACTGTACAAGCAGGGGAATAAGTAAGAAGTGGCTTGCTCAAGGCTATCTAATGAGTAACAGCCATAACATGGAACAATTTATAGTAATATAGTTAGACTATCCCAATCATACTTGATTACACAAATATTTTCCTGTTACCTTATGCAGAATTCAGAACTGGACAAATTGGACAACTTATCTTTAAATCAATCTAATCATTTTGAAGCCCCTTCTTCCAATCTGATAAAAAAACATCTTTAGCATTCTTTCAGCCAATGCATCTGAAATATCTCCCAAGAAACTCACTCAATGTGACAACATAGATTCATGAGAAATGGAAGGCTTTTAAAGTAAAGAGTAAAATGTTTCAGAGGATTGATCATTATTGGCATGCATGTCTTTCTACAGGGTGCTTTGATAATTGAAAAAAAATGAATGATGGAAATAATATAAATCAATCACTACATCAGATCTAATAAAAGAGGAATCAGGAACAAGCCTACCTTCAAAATTTTGGATAATTGGCCCAAGGTATACATGAAGGAAAAAACTGTTTAAAGCCACTCTTGAACTATATCGTAACTATATTTCCCATGTTTCAAGACTGAATGCTTATACTAAAGGTGGTTCTGAGTTTGGCTCACAAATAGGTCTGGCATTAACTCTTTGGGGCTTTAATATGAAGCACAAAGATCTTGTGTCACTGCATCTTACCCCCAAATAGACATGCATAACTTTTCTCTGTCACCCAAAAAGGATGAATGACTTCCAATGCCAGGATTTTTCCAATTTCAGCTTTTTATACATTAAGGTTTTGTTTTTCTCATAAGAAAGTGAATTTACTTTTGTTTTGATTTTAAAGGAAGTAAAGGAAGCACAAGATAGCTTAGCAAGATTATCAGGAGCCCAAGTGAAAGTTTCGCCAGAGGTGATGTAGTTTACATTATTTATTTTATGTCATGTATTGTTTTATGTGTGATGTTTTATTCCCAAATGCTAACAGAGTCACTATCCATACCTTATATCTTATTTTAACGATTAGCAGAATGCCAGTTTCACTGATATTAGAGTGCTTTGCACTAAAGAATTAATGAACTTTAACATTATTTTAACTGCCATGTAATTTGGTCTCGCCAGCACTCTTTGGCAAAGAAAGCTTCAGCTGTAGACCAGTGGTTCTCAACCTGTGGGTACCCAGATGTTCTGGCCTTCAACTCCCAGAAATCCTAACAGCTGGTAAACTGAATGGGATTTCTGGAGTTGTAGGCCAAAACACCTGGGGATCCACAGATTGAGAACCACTGCTGTAGACTCAGGCAAAATAAAAACTACTGCAGCCTCCCCTCATTTGTGTGTTCTTTCTCATTAATAACGTTACCATACCTAACTCTTTTCATCTGTGAAAGGTTGCACAGTATGCAATAGTCCCAAAAAGTTTAAAATTTGCACATAGTACTTTTAATCAGCCTAATTACATTTGTTTATTTATTTTATTTACTTCATTTGTATACCGCTTTTCTCACCGGGGGGGGGGGGACTCAAAGTGGTTTCCAACATATTTATGGCAAAATTTAATGTTTTACATTAAAAGGTGGAGTTAAAACATATTAATATAAATGTTAAAATCACATACTCCAGAAATTATGGTCCAAGGCCATTCCAATTATCAAATATCAATTGCACATAATCCCTGATCATTCCTTGTATTGCTTATTGCCCAAAGGCTTGGTCCCATAGCCAAGTATGTATTTTTTTCTGAAGGCCAGGAGGGAGGGCACTGATCTAATTTCATTGGGGAGGGTATTTCATTGTTGAGGAACCACCACTGAGAAGGCCCTCTCTCTCATCCTAATCAGTTGCACCTGCGAGGGGGGGTGGGAGTAGGGCCTCCCCGGATTATCTTATCCTTCAAGATGGTTCATAGTGGGAGATACATTCAGAAAGGTAAGTTGGACCAGAACCATTCAATTAAACAATCATTTTCAGAGGTTTATACTTCTGTACACATAATAATACCTGTTGCAGTCCCTCTTCCTTAAACCTAATCATTATGCAGATGGACTGGGTGCCTTTTTAGTAATAAAGGATTACTTGTATTTTCCTGCCCAATGATAAACTAAATTTAGAGCTGATAAAACACTGTTTGGCTAAAGGCTATTCTTAACCCGCACCTCCCTCAGACATTCAAATAATGACACACAGCATGCAGGTACTCCAAAGTTAATGACTAAATTCATGGATAACTTTCCTGGCTCTTTGATGCTGTATTGCCTGGAAGAGGTGTTTGACTTCCTTTATTAATCACGCTTATGTTTAGAAAAGTGTGACATTCAGTGGGAAAGCCACATATGCTGAGATTAGCCAAACCTAAAAGCTGTTCCAGGAGAAAGGACAGAAAGGTGGCTAGTCAATTGTAATAGACAAACAGTTTTGAAATATCTGTAGTTTAATGAGATTTAAAAATGCAAACTATTATCCAGATTTCTTTGTTTGCTAAACTTACGAAGAGATTCCAGTGACCAATGTCATTAGTCTGCTTAAATAAATTTCCCTAATGTATTTTCTCCCAGAATCAACTGAACAGCTAACAGCTGCAGCCACCAACCTGTGAAAGTTTCATTGTTTTATTTTCCATTAAATTCAATAATTTTTAGGTGAGCTGGAACTAACACTATCGGCAGCACGTAGACATTACTTTTCTTGTGTTTATGTCTTTTTTTCCTGCCACGGAACTCAAGGTAGATTGTAAAAAGGCAGTTTGCCAAAGCTTCAAAAAAGTTACTTCTGGAATCACCCCACCAGCATAATATGGCTTCCCAGCAAATGAGATTCTAGATAAAAATTCATTATCTAAATCAGAGCTTCTCAAACTGTTCTCCTCCAGATATTTTAGACTTTAGCTCCCACAATTTCTAAAAGCTGGTAAGCTTGTTGGGATTTCTGGGAGCTGAAGTCCAAAACACCAGGAGGAAAAGAGTCTGAGAAACACTGATCGAGATCCATTTCGCCCTGACTTCAGACCTAGTTATGGGACAGACAGCTTTGGCCACCGTGGAGAATGACATTTTCAGAGAGCTAGATAGGGGAAATGTGTCTTGTTTGGTACTGCTGGAACTCTCAGCCTTTCAATACCATCAACTGTAGTATTCTTCTTGGTTGCCTCTCTAGAATGGGACATGAATCGTTGTTTTTCAGTGGTTCCCATCCTTCCTGGGAACAAACTCAATAAGTGGTGCTGGGGGATTCTTGTTCAACACCCTGGTCATTGGCTTATAGATCTACCAGAGCTTGCTTCAGTCCCCCATGCTGTTTAACATACTAGATCATTGGAAGAGGATTTGGAGTTTGTTGTCACCAATATACATATGACTACCAACTCTTACCTTTCCTTCCCATATGATTCCAAGGAAGATGTTTTAGTTCTGAATATGTAATGGACTAGATGAGAACAAACAAATTGTGTTTAGACTTGGGTCTTAGAAGCATAGAATCATAGAGTTGGAAGAGACCTTGTGGGCCATCCAGTCCAACCCCTTGCGAAGAAACAGGAAAATCAAATCACCCCCAACAGATGGCCATCCAGCCTGAACTTAAAAGCCTACAAAGAAGGAGTCTCCACCACACTCCGGAGCAGAGAGTTCCACTGCTGAACAGCTCTCACAGTTAAGAAGTTCTTCCTAATGTTTATGCAGAATCTCCTTTCCTGTAGTTTGAAGCCATTTTTCTGCATCCTCGTCTCCAGAGCAGCAGAAAACAAGCTTGCTCTCTCCTCCCTATGACTTCCCTTCACATATTTATACATGGCCATCATGTCTCCTGTCAGCCTTCTCTTCTTCAGGCTAAGAATGTCCAGCTCTTTAAGCCACTCCTCATAGGGCTTATTCTCCAGATCCTTGATCATTTTGGTCACCCTCCTCTGGACACATTCCAACTTGTCAACATCTCCCTTCAACTGTGGTGCCCAGAATTGGACACCATATTCCAGATGTGGTCTGACCAAGACAGAATAGAGGGGTAACATGACTTCCCTGGATCTAGACACTAGACTCCTATTTATGCAGGCCAAAATCCCATTGGCTTTTTTTGCTGCCGCATGATATTGTTGACTCATGTTTAACTTGTCCTCGTGGACTCCAAGATTTTTTTCACACATACTGCTGTTGAACCAGGCATCCCCCATTCTGTATCTTTGCATTTCGAGGGAATGTCTCCAAGATATCTCCAAGATGTCTCCAAGATATCTCATTATGTATCTATATTTGTATCTGCAACTACTAGTATTACAACCTCTTCCCACCCCCCACCCCCAAATATATCTGAAATCTAAAACATGTCTTCTTCTAAGCATTTCAGATAAGTGATACTCAAACTGTACTGAATTTTGAAAAACTGCGTGTGTTGTACTCTCTCTGTCTTTGAAAGGGAACTACATTTCAGACAAAGGAACATGATATGAAATAGGTCATAGTGTGGACCAGCCATCTCATTATTGTGTCATACAAAAGACGCCTGGTTCAACAATATCTAAATGAAAAAGACTTAGAGATCCATCCCTAAAGTGCCCATTATGTCAAAAATAAGCTCCCCCCCCTTCATATGAATAAGTCAGTAAACAGAACTATCTGATTGTTTTGCTAGTGTTCAGAGGTGTACCGCAAGGTGTACAATGAGGTGCATAAAGCAGCACAAGAGAAAATAGAATACAATTACTGCTAAACACATACATCCCTTATTCAATATTTATCTTCTGACACCGATTTAGCGAAGTAGCTTGAATTGTGGCTAGATAGAGTGGTAGCACCTGCAGCTATTTCAAAAGGTTTCCTAAGCCTTGTGTTTGAATACATCTGAGCTGTATTTGCACAATAAAATTTGCTTTTTTATATACAAAAAGATATGAAAACACAATAGGATTCCTGAGTTTCACTGAAAGCTGAGTCAGCTCTGATTTTGCACGAGTTGTTTAAAATAGGTATCTGCCTAACATATATTTAAAGATATATTGATGGAAAAGTTAATCTTTTAAGGAATGAAATAGACTATTGGTTATTAATTGGTGGGTAATGTTTTGCTTGACAGTTGCTTAATGTATTTTTATATCTATAGATTGTACCATTTTGTTTAACCTCAAATAATGCTTATAGACCACAAACACATTACAAGTAATAAATAAATAACTTACCCAAGTAGTAGAGATGTATAACTCATGTCAAAATGATTGATAGCTGTCAAATGACAGTTGCCCCTCCCTTAAGGCAGGACATCCGATGTAGATCCCTCTCCTTTCCTCTGACGGACTAGGACAAGATCTGAGATATGGTTCATGAGACCTCTCCTCATCACCCTGGGCCAATAGGAACCGGTTTCACTCTCTTGTGCCATGTAGTCCAAACCACTGAAAATGTTGTTCAGAGATTTAAAAATAGTTTGCAGTCAATTAAGTCAGCAGTAGGGAGAGGACAAGAGGTAGAACCCCCCTGAGTCCCTTTGGGGAGATAGTTGTGTTTAACTGCAGGCCAAGGTCTTTAAGTACTGCACCCAGTGTGCCAATCACCACTGGGCCCACCTTTACTGGCTTGTGCCAGAATCTTTGCAGCCCTATTATTATTATTATTATTATTATTATTATTATTATTATTATTATTAGGAAATTTTGTCCTAGCTTATGTGTTCTTCCACATGATCAGCCTTCGCTATTCTTCCCACACACCTACACTGTTTGCATATGTCCTAGTTTTCATCTGTGAAATATTGATGGGTATGACATTTATCATGATTGGAAGCCATTGACAGCCCCTTCTTCTATGGATTTATGTAAGCAGCCTTACTTGGTGATCATCCTGTAATAGCAAATTTCACAGTCTAGCTAGCTAGCTACATGCTCTGTAAAGTAATTCTGTGTTTTATCTGTTCTGAGTTGTTCACCATTCAGAGAATACACATTTTAATATTTTGATTCAGGAAGAGGTCTCTGCCCACTCTCTTCACATCATAGAGCAGTGTGTTCCCAAAGGTTGGTCTTCCAGGTGTTTTGGGTTTCAGTTCCCAAACAGCTGAGACTTCCGGGAATTGAAGTCCTTGGAGGACTAGGGTTCAGGAATCAGCGCTATAGAGAGTTTTATTAACAGTTGCCTTTTTCATAGACAACTATTTACCTTTCTTGTAAGTGGAGTTGATGCACCCTCTTGTTCATTTTGTTATCCATTTTCTCTATATGTACACAAAAGGCAGGAATGTGACATCCAGTTTATCTAGATCAGGCATGGGCAAACTTAGGTCCTCCAGGTCTTTTGGACTTCAACTCCCACCATTCCTAACAGCCTCGGACCCTTTCCTTTTAAGCAACTGTGGTGTGGGGGGGGGGAGGCCTGGGGTTGTTAGGAATGGTGGGAGTTGAAGTCCAAAACATCTGGAGGGCCAGAGTTTGCCATGCCTGATCTAGAGGTACTTGGCCCCATCTTTGGCCCTCTCTTGTGCTGATCTGTCACAAACAATAATCTGTCACAAACAATATCTATAATTGAAAGCTTCATTATCATCCCATTTGCTTGCCAAAATACAGAGTCTGTACATTATATGGAGGGACTTATCCATGATGTTATTTTTTTTTTCTTCTGGGGAGATCGCAGAACTATGCTCCCCTAAGTACATATCTGTATGCCAAGAAGCATAGAATTGAAAATCTTTAACAACACTCTCCAGAGCACACTGGTTGTTATTGTTGCCTTTCCCCTCCAGGTACCAAGTGAAGTCCCAGAAGAAAAACCAGCAAGGAAGAGAAGGGGAACAAAAGGGAAGGCAATCAAAGAGGGGGCTGCCAAAGACACTGCCGCCAGAGTAGCTGCTGCTAAAAAAGCCGCCATGAAAGAAGCCATGACCAAAGAAGCCAAGGCTAAAGAAGCCAAGGCCAAAGAAGCCAAGGCCAAAGAAGCCATGGCCAGAGAAGCAAGGGCCAAGGAAGCTATGCCCACAGAAGCTATGCCCACAGAAGCTATAGTCAAAGAAACCATGGCCAAAGCAGCCATGGCCAAAGCAGCTGAAGCAAAAGAATTGTTATTGGAGCCAGATAAGGTACACTATTATTATAAAATACCTTCTGTATCCTTTGTGGTGCCAGCTTATGAAATATGAAAAAGAAAAGGAATGGGGCCATTGCCACCCAAAAGTATTCCAAGAAAATTACATTTGACCCATTCATTGCTCATCTCTGACAAGCTGTAAAAATATTTTGTTTCAGACCTCAAACAATGGAGCTTCTTTCATGATATATCATCCTTTTGTTGTATTTTTAAATGGATTTTGGTTTGCAGTTATTTTTCAGTATTTTAATCAGTCTGAGTTTAAATACATTTGTACAGAAAACTCAGATGAGCTCACTGACTGGATGAATATTTATGCCACACCCACCATTATAGTTATGGTTTTGTTTGATTTTAATATATTGATAATCAATCCCAGGCCCTTTTCTGTCATGCAGGCTGCACAAGAGATGGACAGGGCAACTGAGAGAAAAGAACTTCAGGCTGAGATAAAGAGACTGAGAAAAGCTGAACAAGAGGCAAGACAGATTGCACAGAGGTATACGCACATATATATATTTTTGCAAACATGTATGATGTACAATGTATTCTTGAAGGCTTTCATGGCTGGAATCACTGGGTTGCTGTGAGTTTTCCATGTTGTATGGCCATGTTCCAGAAGCATTCTCTCCTGACATTTTGCCTGCATCTATGGCAGGCATCCTCAGAGATTGTGAGGCCTTGATGTGATCTTTTCACATTAAAAAAATGCATTTCTCTCCCCCCCCCCCCCCCCCCCCCTTGTTTTTTTTTCTTTTTCTTTTAGACTCCAACAAGACATGAGTCAGTCTGGTCGATCATGGAAAATGAAGTTTGAAATCCTAAAGAAAAGGTATTTTGATGTTAGGTGTGCATATGAACATAATTCACAACAAAGCATTCCAGAATAATTTATTTTAGTGAGATAGACAATGCAATCCTATCTGTACCTAGTGAGAAGTAAGTCCTGTGGCTGTGGGCAAATATATGTATTCTATGTGTGTAGGGAAAACTTCATTAATGGCATCATTAACGGAGGTAATACACTTACTGATTAGAAAATAGAACGACTGTCAATGCAACAGTCTGCATGCACATAAACAAAATACATCTCTGCAAACAAAGCCAAGACAAGACAATAACAAAACCAAATAAGCAAGAAAACAATTATGGGCTTCTCAATTCACAAGCAATGGAATTGAGCTGATTTCTCTCTTCTTACCATAACTCCGGTCTGTGTGTGTGTGTGATCCGATGTTCCCTTTTCCTGAGCTGGTGAATCACATCACTTTCCATGTGGACAGAACAATGGCATAAATACACAGAGAGGACAGAAACAGTCATAGGTTTTCAAAAGATTTGCATATTGTGCACTGGTCCATTGGGTTCCATGCAAACACAGTCTCACCAAAGTGCTATTTTAGGTAGCATAGAGCAGTGGTTCTCAACCTGTGGGTCCCCAGGTGTTTGGCCTTCAACTCCCAGAAATCCCAGCCAGTTTACCAGCTGTTAGGATTTCTGGGAGTTGAAGGCCAAAACATCTGGGGGCCCACAAGTTGAGAACCAGTGGTGTAGAGAATACTCTTTCCTGCTGAGATATATATATATACACACACACACACACACACACACACATTTGAAAAAAATGGCTTCAAATTAGAAGCACAACTAGAGTGACTACTTTGATTTTAAAAAAGACTCTCTGAGACACAAAATGGTCTGTGGGCACTTAAACATGGTGAAAATACCTCCACGCTCCCGATAGGTTATTGAAAACAATTCCCTTAAAGAAGCTGCAAAAGCTAATTCCTGCTTTTTCTGGAACTGTCCAAAGTGCTGACTTTATTCATAAAATAGTTCCAACACCCTGGAGAACTCTTGCAAACATGGTCATCATTCCAAAGTAACTGAGCCTCTGGCTTCCTTATCTCCAAAAGCAGCTTGTGATAATAGCCTTAAATCTGCTCTTCAAATATTAAAAAAACCTGAACATCTATTGAACATGTGGAGGCTTGTAGAGATACCTTTCAATAGTTATTTAGATGTCCGAGCCTGAGTTGTAAACATTGAACTCATAGTTTAAGAATGATTTTTTCCATGTCAGGAACAACTTGAGAAACTCCAAGTTGCTTCTGGTGTGAGAGAATTAGCTGCTGCAAGGATGTTACCCAGGGGACGCCCGGATGTTTTACCATCTGTGGGAGGCTTCTCTCATGTCCCCGCATGAGTAGCTGGAGCTGACAGACAGGAACTTACACTGCTTCCCGGATTCGAACCACCGACCTTTCAATCAGCAGTCCTACCGACAAAGGGTTTAACCCATTGCACCACCGGAAACTCCAAGAATGGGGGTGAGACAACAGAAAGTAAGGGAAATCTACCCCTAGGAAGGAAAATTCCGAGCCCAATTTAAGGTGCAGGTGCTTACCTACAAAGCCCTGAATGGTTTGGGACCACCCTACCTGCGTGACCGCATCTCCATCTACGAGCCCACACGCTCACTCCGGTCATCTGGAGAGGCCCTGCTCGTGATCCCGCCTGCGTCGCAAGCGCGCTTGGTGGGGACGCGAGACCTTTTCTGTGGTGGCCCCCCGACTTTGGAACGCCCTCCCAAAAGATCTTAGACAGGCCCCTACATTGGCAGTCTTCAGAAAGAACTTGAAAACCTGGCTGTTCCGATGTGCCTTTTCAGATTAGGAACCTCAATACCAAGTCCCAGAAGCACTTTAGTAGAACCACGATCACTGTACACCGCACACTGCACTTATTTTATAATCCTATATTCCTCCCGCAATATCAGCACTTTTAATCCTGTACCCACTACTCTGGCCGGCCCAGTTTTAATAATTGTTTCGATGTATTGTTACTGTTACTGTTTACTCTGCTTAACTGTTTTTAATTTGCTTTATGTATTGTATTGTTGTATTGTGTTCTGAGGCCTCGGCCTATGTAAGCCGCATCGAGTCCCTCGGGAGATGCTAGCGGGGTACAAATAAAGTAATAATAATAATAATAATAATAATAATAATAATAATAATAATATTCACTCCTGGAAGAGTTATCATAGGGAAAAGGTGTCTCCACTGGACCTTTATCACTAATCCTTGTTTCCAAAACAAGTCATATTTTTCAAAATCCAATGCCTGAAGTTGCACTTAAAAATTTACCTGTTCCAACTTACATACAAATTCAACATAAGAACAACCCTACAGAACCTATTTTGTTTGTAATTTGGGGACTATCTGTATTACATTTTTTAAAATGATACTGTAGAGGTGAGAATTGAACTCAGCCATTTTTATTCATTCCCCAGCCTGCATGCAATTAAGGATGAGATGTTCCTCAGGCAATCATTGCGTCAGGCAGCCAAATTTAGACGCACATCTTTTACTGAGAGGGTATGTACTGATAAATAGGAATTTGTGGGGTGCTTTAATCAAGGACACTGGAATGTTTTTAAATTTTAAGGGCTATTGAGGTTTTTCTGAGAGCCAGAGAATTCTGCTCCTTGGCATCTGCAGTAGTCCAGGTGCAAAGCTTGGAGGCAATAGTAAGATTATGATAGCTGTAATCCAAAAGCCCTGTGTTATTCAGACCCAGTCTAAGTGATCAGACCACGATTTTAGGCTCCTGACCATGAATCCAGTTGTTAGTCCCAATTAGAGCAGGTACAATGAATAAATTGGAATGTGACAAGCCAGCACTTACATTCCATGGATTCAGTGGGTCTTTTGAGATTAGTAACTGGATTTAAATTCTGAGAATTTTTTATTCTGGCTTTAATATTTTGTTCCTGTTGCATAGACTTGAAACCTCTTTAATGCAGTGCAAACCCAACATTGTGATTGCGATCCAAGATCAAATGTTTCCATTTTATCTTTCATGCCTTCTTTGTGTTATCCATATTGCATAGTTACATTAAGGTAATTGCAGACATAGAACTGAGACTGGATCTACACTGCCATATAATCTAGTTTCTGAATCCAGATTATATGAGCCTATACTGCCATACAATACAATTCAAAGCAGATAATCTGGATTCAGTAACTAGATTATATGGCAGTGTAGAGGAGAATTCAATGCATGTGAATTCCTGCCTTCCTCTGAATGAATTTCCTTCTCTTGTTGTCATTTCCCACAACAAAATTACATTTGGCTGTCTATGTGTTTTGGTTTCCAGCTTCAGTCAGACCCTCCAATATGGCCCATGTTAAGGGATTGGGAAAACTGTAGGCCAAAATATCTGGATGGACAAATCTGACCTATAATAATAGAAACAGTGCTATCTATAGAATCGTCAACATTCAAACTGAGTTTGAAAACATCCCAGTTCTTTTCCTCTAAGCTCTTCTTCTTCTCTCACTGCTCCTACTCTTTCTTGACCTGCATTGCAGTGCTAATTTCTTCTTTGCTCAGTATCTTCCACCCTCCTTATCACACAGTAAAATTCTACTTCCATCATTCCTCATTTTTCCTCTGAAATGTTTTAAGTAACCTTGCAAATAAAACATTATTCAGAACTATCTAGTACCCTATGAAGAAATGAATTTTTGAGTCCCGTTTCCACTTTTGTATGTATATTTATAACAGTTTTAGTTTATGCTGATTGTATTTTATACTATGTTATTATATTGTATCAGCATTGAATAGTGCCTGTTGGTAGCCGTCCTGAGTCCTGAGGAGGAATAGAAATATTCCAAATAAATAAATAATAAATAAATTTTGTCTTTTCTGGTCAGGGAAGGTCTGGCACCTAGTGACTGAAGGTGGTGTTGCAGGCTAGAGAAATGTCTTAACTAAATTTAATTGAGTCATTTCATAAAAAACAAAATAACCCCAAAAGGGCCTTATCCGTTTTCAAATGTCTGAGTATCACAGTTTTAGACTATAATAATAATAATAATAATAATAATAATAATAATAATAATAATTTTGTTTCTTACTCCCCTCCCCTCGTGTCTCGAATATCATGTCAAATGACAGGAAGAAAGAGAGATTTCTGTGCTTGCTGGGTCCTTAAAAGGAAAAATAACTAATATTCTTGTTCTTTCCAGACACCTTCTCCCATACATATTCAGACTTCTTCAATTAAAAAAAAGTCATTTTTATCTGGGTTGTACATGCAATATTCACCTCTGGTAAGTAGCTTAAAGTTTGAGTAATATGTATATGTTGCTTTGGCTGATATATATGCATTTTATGTCCTGTCTTCGTGCACCCTCAAGCATTCCAAAAAGGTGCCTTCTCCTCTCAAAGATAACAGTGTTTAGTATAGTTCTTGATCCCCAGAAGGACTGATGAAATACGACATATGTCTTTAAAATGTTTTTGGTTTAGTTCATTTTAAAACGAATAGGATTGGACATGAAAGATAATTATCATGTGATTATAACCACTGTTAGATATTAGTACTTGGCCACACATAATGGTTTGGGAATAGGAAACAGCAAATTGAATTCCAAATATTGAAAATAGATTAATATAAGTATAACTTTGGTCCTACCTAGGTCCTATCCATTATGGCTAAGCCAGAGTACTGATCCAACTACAGTAGAGTCTTGCTTATCTGACATAACCAGACTAGCAGAACATCGTTTAAATGAAAATGTCAGATAATACAGAGTCTCCTACTGTTACCCATCTGAAGCAGCGCTAGACACCTAGAATACTAACAACAGGGACACAAGGGTTAAGGCAAGGCAACATCTCTGGGCTAGAGAGACCCAGCAGGAAGTGCCCGGATGCGGAAGAGGAGTGCGAAAATCACAGAGGGAAAGAGGGAGGGCGCTTCCACTTCCGGTCCTGCTTCTTTCCCCCCTTTCTTCCCTCCTCTTCCTCCTTGCCTTGCCTTGACTTTTTCACTTATTGGGAATGAAGAGAGAGAGTTAGGGAGCACTCCTTTAATTGAAGAGGAAATGCCTGAGGAAAAAGGGGGTGTCAGATAAGAGGGTTGGATAAGACATAATGTCGGATAAGCGAAGATTGGATAAGTGAGACATTACTGTACTTAGCTGGATAATATGCCAGAGGTCTTTTCTAGCCGTGGTATCTAAATTTTGGTGATACAGTTAAAATGGAAGCACAGATGGTCCCTCTTCCCTTTACCTTTCATGTCAACTTTTAATCCAGTTTACCCTTAGATATTTTTTTTTACTGGTGGCGGTGTATAATTGGGCATGAAGGTGACTTGTGGGTTTCATTGCGAGGCAACCTATTTTACCCTCTTCTGCCTGTATTCTACCATCGAGATATGAGCTAGATCATGGAATAGGAAATATTTGTGTGTGTGTGTGTGTGTGTGTGTGTCAGGAGCGACTTGAGAAACTGCAAGTCACTTCTTAAGTGAGAGAATTGGCCGTCTGCAAGGACGTTGCCCAGGGGACACCCGGATGTTTTGGTGTTGTACCATCCTTGTGGGAGGCTTCTCTCATGTCCCCTCATGGGAAGCTGGAGCTGATAGAGGGAGCTCATCTGTGCTCTCCCTGGATTTGAACCTATGTCCTATCGGTCTTCAGTCCTGCCGGCACAAGGGTTTAACCCATTGCGTCACCAGGGGTGCCATAGGAAAGCTGTTCAGTACCAAGTCAGGCAGTTTGTCACATACTTAAGGGTTGTAAGTAATACCCTCTTTTGATATATGGCCACTTGTCATTATAATCCTTATAGAAGCAACATCAAGGACATTCCATTGTAATGTCTGAAAGGTCGTGGTAGCAGAAACCAGTTCCCGTGTCTATTTTATTTGCACAATGCTGGTTTTACTAGCAGGCAAGCAAGAATAAGCGGCTAAGAGGGGAAAGAAAGAGTCCTAAGGCAGTTAGGAATTGTGGAAATCCAAAACTCCTGGGGGGGCCAAAGTTTACACATGCCTGGAATAAGGTCTTTTCCTTTATCTGATATATGATTTCTGTTATCAGAGTCGATGGGGCTTGAACTTGGTAGCATGTTGGCAATGAATGTAGGGTTGCGATAGGAATTCTAGTTAATAGTTGTAACTAAGAAGCTAAGATCATTAAGGATGGTGGTTCCAATGTTAATTGTATGGTAAATTTTCTATGGGTTTTAGTCTGAACTTGGTAAGAACTATCCTTATTGGAAATAGGATTAACCAGTCTGATAGGCCATTAAAAATTTGGATTAAAACCTAGAGTGGAATCATTGACGCAAAAACATTGCAGTTACCAGCATCTGCTAAGTTCAACACATCTGCAGAATACATGGTTGGGAAAGGCTACCCAACTCCAACTGTGTTTATAATACTTATCTATAAGTTATCCATTGCTTTTGGAAAGATTTCTTCCCTGTGACCTGCCTGAACTAGAGGTTATGGGACTAAAAAATTCCAAGGAAAGCTTTTGTGGGAAAGATGATACTACTCTTGTCATGTTTTATAGTTTGGAATTTTGTATTCTTACCATCTTGACCTTATAACAATAACTTTACATAGATGCAGTTTAGTAGATGTTTTCTGAAAGGTGCTTGTACAGCAGTTTTTGAGTGATGTTAATATTTGGTGTTCAGCCAGACATAGCACGTCAACCAGTTACAGAAACAATTGACGAAGAGAGCAATGATGTCAATAAAATTCCGGTTACCATTGAAATTCCTACTGCATTTGGAGGTAAACCCTTTAATTTTCTCTATCTTGCTTAGTAAAGGTGAAAGTTTTCCCTGACATTAAGTCTAGTCATGTACGACTTTGGGGGTGGTGCACATCTTCATTTCTAAGCCAAAGACCTGGCTTTGTCCACAGATACCTCCAAGGTCATGTGGCCAGCATGACTGCATGGAACACCGTTACCTTCCTGCCAGAGCTGTACCTATTGATTTCACATTTGCATGTTTTCAAACTGCTAGGTTGGCAGAATCTGGGGCTCACAGCAGGAGCTCACCCTGCTCCCCCGATTTGAACTGCCAACCTTTCGGTCAGTAAGTCTAGCATCTCAGCGGTTTAACCTGTTGCACCACTGGGGGCTCCCTATCTTGCTTATTCTTCCTAAATATTGTAGCTTTCTCTCTTCTCTCAAATGGTAACAAAACGTCTATAGATATTTCTACTGCGAAGAATATATAAAAATTATGTTGCTTATTTCCAACAAATATAGAAGCAGGAATTAAAGGAATATACACATCTTTCTGTTTCGGAAATAGGACACATGTCTGTAGATAAAAAGCTGATATTATAAGTATTCCAGAATGCATAAAATAATTAAAACACATCTGAAATCCTATCTACAATTAAGTTGGTATGTATGCTCCATTAGAGGCAGTAGTTCTGTGCTGAATCTGTTGGATGTGCTTCTGAATAGACTGGGCTGTAAAAGAGTATAAGAATTGATTGAGATATTAGTTTAAAAGAATGAGAAGGCATAGTGTCAGATTAGTCATAGGATCATAGGATCATAGAGTTGGAAGAGACCTCATAGGCCATCCAGTCCAACCCCATGCCAAGAAGCAGGAAAATTGCATTCAAAGCACCCCGACAGATGGCCATCCAGCCTCTGTTTAAAAGTATCCAAAGAAGGAGCCTCAACCACACTCTGGGGCAGAAGGTTCCACTGCTGAACAGCTCTCACAGTCAGGAAGTTCTTCCTAATGTTCAGATGGAATCCTCTTTCTTGTAGTTTGAAGCCATTGCTCTGCGTCCTAGTCTCCAGGGCAGCAGAAAACAAGCTTTCTCCCTCCTCCCTGTGGCTTCCTCTCACATATTTATACATGGCTATCATGTCTCCTCTCAGCCTTCTCTTCTTCAGGCTAAACATGCCCAGCTCTTTAAGCCACTTCTCACAGGGCTTGTTCTCCAGAATCTTGATCATTTTAGTCACCCTCCTCTGGACACATTCCAGCTTGTCAATATCTCTCTTCAGTTGTGATGCCCAGAACTGGACACAACATTCAATGAGATGAATCTATATCAGTGGTTCCCAACCTGTGGTCCATGGACCATTAGTGGTCTGCAAGAACTAAAATATGGTCCATGACCTTACTGTTACTACACCATTGGAACAAGAGTGACTGGTCTCACGAAACCCTCTTATAGAGCCAAGCATTAACAAAATCCATAGATAATAATACAGCCCAACCAAAGAATCATTTTTTTCTTGGAGTCTTTGTTTTTAGGCCTGTTCGTCGAGTTATTTGGGGTGCTGATTCAGAAAATTGCATTACATGGACCATATCAGCTCTAGATTATTAAATATGGTTTTCTGTGGGTGAGAAAATGATGACTACTGGATGTCATATGTTCTGGGAATGAGAGCTGATGTGGTTTATCCAATGCCATTCTCTGAATACGCACCCCAAATAACCAAACTGAATCTAAGTTGACCAAAAACTGAATTGTAACTCTTTTGGTATTAATGTTGGAGAGTGGTCCTTGGTCAAAGTGGTTCCTAGTCAAATGGTCCCTGGTCAAAAAAAAGGTTGGGAACCACTGATCTATACTATAGAATTAATGCAGTTTGACTGTTTATGCAGTTGAATTTTGATGGCTCAATGGTATATGGTCCTGGGAGCTATAGTTTGGTGAGGCACCAGCATGCCACACACCTATGACCCTTTTCCTGTAGTAGTAGTAGTAGTAAACCATTGTGTTCAGTGCACTTGTTCAGTTCTGTTCATTGGTTTATTTTTTCTGCCTCTTCCTTCTTTGGACCTTCATTATCTATTGTGCAGCAGAGATAAACAGGATAGTAGAGATATCCAAGCCTCTTGTTGTGTGATATATGAACCTTGGGCTTATTTTTATGTACTCAAGAAGATTTTTCTCACAGTCTGGTAGCAAAGCACTATTTACTCTGTAATCTCGAGGGACAGTCTTAATGAGCAAGAAAAGCATGAATTCGTAAGATAAAACTCTGGAGGAACAGAGGCTCTTTGGCCCATTTGTCGAGAAGAGAAAGCTCAAACAGAAATATCTGATGCACAGAAGCAACTCTGGTTGTTTGGGCAGATTACACTGTTTATTTCAGTTTCAAATCCATTTGTCAACCAAGAGGAAGAGTTAAGAGGAAGGTCACATCAGACAGGTCATTCCAGTAAAAGCCATGACAAAGGATTTATAATACATAATACATAATGTCTTTCATTATTGTAACCTTTTGAAATATCATACCCTAAAGCAGCATCCTCAAACTGAGGCCCTCCAGCTGTTTGGGCCTCTAACTCCCAGAATTCCCATTGAACAAACCAGCAAGGGCTTCTGGGAGTTGGAGGCCCAAACAGCTGGAGGGCCACAGTTTGAGGATGTCTGCCCTAAAGTATCATCATATGATTTACCAATTGATGTTCTGTTCTGATCAGCACAATGTTTTTAGTTGGTTTCTGCAAAACTGAAATTCAACATTGTATATTAGGTATCTGCATTAGAGCACTCTTGTGAACTATTCTATACAGTGTTCCCTCACTACTTCGCAGATCACTTTTAGCGGACTCGCTGTTTCGTGGGTTTTTGAAAATATTAATAAAAATATTAAATATTAAATATTTATATCCAGTGGAGGCCAGGGATTGTTGAAGAGCAATGATTGCATAGACTGGATATGCCCTATGTTCAACATCTTCTGTAAACAATAATAGCCAGTATTCTGTGTCAGCTATTTAGTTATACTGAGGTGAGTAACTTCTCCTTGCCTGATCCCACCAAACCTGATGGAAGAATCTTTCACCTGCATAATGGACCCCCTTCTCTGCATGCAACTAATGCACACAACTGTTACTCCTGCCATGATTGTCATCCACCTTCCTGCCTACTTTTATGGATATCAGCTACATGAAAAGGAGGAGCAATTGAAACACTGGTGAATGGCATTTTTGGCAGGTTTGGTGAGTCAGGCCAGGACAATTTACTTTGTGTTGCTGTTATTGTATGCCTTCAAGCCATTTTGGACATACTGTCTCCCTAAAGCAAACTATCATAGGCTTTTTGTTGTAGAACATATAGAATCATAGAATCGTTGAGTTGGAAGAGGCCTTGTGAGCCATCCAGTCCAACCCCCTGCAAAGAAAAAGAAAATTTGCATTAAAAGCACCCTCGACAGATGGCCCTCCAGCCTCTGTTTAAAAGCCTACAAAGAAGGAGTGTCCACCACACTACGGGGTGGATAGTTCCACTGTTGAACAGCTCTCACAATTAAGAAGTTCTTCATAATGTTCAGGTGGAATCTCCTTTCCTATAGTTTGAAGCCATTATTCTGCATCCTCCTCTCCAGGGCAGCAGAAAACAAGCTTGCTCCTTTCTCCCTATGACTTCCCCTCATATATTTACACATAGCCATCATGTCTCCTCTCAGCCTTCTCTTCTGCAGGCTAAACATGCCCAGCTCCTCATAGGGCTTGTTCTCCAGAACCTTGATTGTTTTAGTCACCCTCCTCTGGACACATTCCAGCTTGTCAACATCTCCCTTCAATTGTGATGCCTAGAATTGGACACAATGTGACTCCAGGTGTTGTCTGACCAAGGCAGAATAGAGGGATAGCATGACTTCCCTGGATCTGGATACTAGACTCTTATTGATGCAGGCCAAAATCCCATTGTTTCTTCTTTGCTTTTTTTGCCACCACTGCATAACATTGTTGGCTCATGTTTAATTTGTTGTCCAAGGGGACTCCAAGATCTTTTTCACATGTACTGCTGTCGAGCCAGGCGTCCCCCATTCTGTATCTTTACATTTCATTTTTTCTGCCCAAGTGGAGTATCTTGCATTTGTCCCTGTTGAACTTCATTTTGTTAGTTTTGACTCATCTCTCTAATCTGTTCAGATCGTTTTGAATTCTGCTCCTGTCTTCTGGGGTATTAGCTATCCCTCCCAATTTAATGTTATCTGCAAACTTGATAATCATGTCTTCTAACCCTTCATCTAAGTCATTAATAAAGATGTTGAACAGGACCGGACCCAGGACGGAACCCTTTGGCACTCCACTCGTCACTTCTTTAGAGTGAGCTTGATCTTGCCTTCCTCTGAATCTAACTTGCTCAAGGTCACCCAGTGGGTTTCTAAAGCCTGAGTAGGGATTTGAACCCTGGTTTGCCAGTTTTCTAATCCAACATTCAAACTACCACACAATACTGGCTTGGTTGCTTAATTAAATATATTTAAATAAGTAGTTATTATTGCTGTTGTAGTTATGAATTTTCTCCCTCCATTTTCCAGTTGTCAATCATTCTTGTTGCCATAATCTTGGTTTTTTTTTTTACGTTTAGCTGCAACCCAGCTTTTGCGCTTTCTTCTTTCACCTTGATTAGAAGGCTCCTCAGCTCGTCCTCGCTTTCGGCCATCAGAGTGGTGTCATCTGCATATCTGAGGTTGTTAATGTTTCTTCCAGCAATTTTCACCCCAGCTTTGCATTCATCAAGCCCCGCACATCGCATGATGTGTTCTGCATACAAGTTAAAAAGGTTGGGTGAGAGTATGCAGCCTTGCCGTACGCCTTTCCCAATTTTGAACCAGTCTGTTGTTCCGTGGTCAGTTCTTACTGTTGCTACTTGGTCCTTGTACAGATTCCTCAGGAGAGAGATGGATGTGAGAGCTGGACCTTAGGGAAGGCTGAGAGAAGGAAGATAGATGCTTTTGAGCTGTGGTGTTGGAGGAAAGTTCTGAGGGTGCCTTGGACTGCGAGAAG